TAGCCCTCAGACGTTTAGGTGAGGCAGAGCCTACCCTCAGCCGTCGGGTGAGGCAGAGCCTGCCCTCAGACGTCAGGTGAGACAGAGCCAGCCCTCAGACATTTGGGTGAGGTGGAGCCTGCCCTCAACCGTCGGGCGAGGCGGAGTCTAGCCCTCGGGGGTCGGGCAAGGTGGAACCAATCTTCCATCATTCGGGCAAGAAGCGTAGTAGCGTTCTTGTCTGACCGGAAGCGTCAATGTTCGATGGTTATTAGTTCCACCTCATTGGGTACCCCGGTATTTGGTCCCCGACACTTATGCTGATGCTTTATGCTAAAATATTGTGAGAGAAAAAAACTATTTCATGGCTAAAAATTAGCTCAAGCGGGTCTAATAGCCTCACGTGCAAGATGGTCATACATAACCTTTCAAAAAAAAGATGGCCATAGATAAAATGTGCAACCAAAGTATTATCATTTTATTAAACACTAATAATGATCATTTATTATTTCACATTTTTCTAATCCAGTGTTATGAATTCCTGTGTTCCGAACACCTTGGCTAGTTCTTTTCTGCTATTTTCCATTCCTCTGTTTTACCACTACACACCCATCCTATTGCTTTTTTTTCATTCCTATGTTTTCAATTCCTTCGTTCTAAACAGGCCCCTGATGATGAAGGGGCCGAGCTTGTAAAGTCCGGAGTAGGTACATGAATTTGTATAAAAACTACTCTACAAAAAATAAAACGACAATGCTACCATTAAGATGTCTGGAAGGCCGGCCGCCTCGCTCCACTCACTGTCGCATGCGCCGCTCGCCTAAAAAAACAAAATCAACTCCCACACGTCTAAAAGGCCCTAATGGCTAGAGGGGGGGTGAATAGTTTATTAAAATTTTCTACAACAACACTTAGTAAACCGGTTAGACAAATATGAGGCGAAGCGAGTGTTGCACTAGCCTACTAAAAATATAAGCCACCTACAACAATTCTAGTTTATATAATCTCTATCCACACAATGGCTATGTCACTATACTAAGTTAGTGTGCTTTCAAAGGCTAACTAAAGAGCCACACTAACCAAACTAACAAGCTCTCACGACTAGCTACTCTAAAGAGCTTGACAACTAGTTTATGGTAAAGTAAAGAGAGAGAGCAAGATGGTTATACCGCCGAGTCAAGGAATAAACCAATCAATCACAAGAATGAATACCAATCACCTCGAAATCAAATGATGACTCAATGATTTTTACCGAGGTTCACTTGCTTGCCGACAAGCTAGTCCTCGTTGTGGCGATTCACTCACTTAGAGGTTCACACGCTAATTGGCATCACACGCCAAACCCTTAATAGGGTGCTGCACTACCAACACAAGATGAGGATCACACCAGCCACGAGCAATTTACTAGAGTACCTTTTGGCTCTCTGCCGGAGAAAGGTTAAGAAACCCTCACAATCACCACGATCGGAGCTAGAGACAATCACCAACCTTCACTCGACGATCCTTGCTGCTCCAAGCCATCTAGGTGGCAGCAACCACCAAGAGTAACAAGCGAATCCCGCAGCGAAACACGAACACCAAGTGCCTCTAGATGCAAACACTCAAACAATGCACTTGGATTCTCTCCCAATCTCACAAAGATGATGAATCAATGATGGAGATGAGAGGGAGGGCTTTGGCTAAGCTCACAAGGTTGCTATGTCAATGTAAATGGCCAAGAGAGTGAGCTTGAGCCGGCCATGGGGCTTAAATAGAGAGCCCCCACGAATAGTTGGCTCCTCTGTTCACTGAGAAATCGGGGCGACCGGACGCGCCGGTCGGATTGACCGGACGCAGGACCCCAGCGTCCAGTCCTCAGATTTTCGCCACGTGTTCCCCGCTTCAAATGCTGATCACCCAATTTCAACGATCAATAGTGCAATTAAGTTGTGACCGGACGCACCACTGCGCTAAGACCGGACACGCCACCGCCTGAGTTCGGTCGTTTCTAGAGAGCTCCCCGAGCCTCTATTTTGTGACCGGACGCGTCCGCTCCTGCACGACCGGACATAAACCAGCCAGAGTCCGATCGTTTCCAGAGAGGTTCTAGAACTGGTTTTCACGACCAGACGCGTCCGGTCACGCCTGACTAGACCCGTCCAGCGTCCAGTCACTCAACCTTTTCTCTGTGCGCCGCCATGTCTACAGGACCAGACGCTGAACAATGTTCAGCCAGAGTCCGGTCATAAAAAATGAGACGGCACCACTGATCCACCATTGACCGGACGCTGCTCCCCTGAATCTAGTCACCACGTGACCAGCATCCAGTCACTGTTTTTCAGTGACTGTTATCTTCTTCATTTCACTAACTTCTCCACCCTTGCTCAAATGTGTCAACCACCAAGTGTATCACCTTGTGCACATATGTTAGCATATTTTCATAAATGTTTTCAAGGGTGTTAGCACTCCACTAGATCCTAAATGCATATGCAATGAGTTAGAGCATCTAGTGGCACTTTGATAACCGCATTTCGATATGAGTTTCACCCCTCTTAATAGTACGGCTATCAACCCTAAATGTGATCACACTCTTTGAGTGTCTCGATCACTAAACCGAAAAGCTCTTATTAATTTCACCTTTGCCTTGAACTTTTTATTTTTCTTACTTCTTTTTCAAGTCCAAGCATTTTATCATCACCATGCCATCATCATCATCATGTCATGATCATCATTTGCTTCATCACTTGGAGTAGTGCTACCTATCCCATAATCACTTTGATAAACTAGGTTAGCACTAAGGATTTCATCAATTCACCAAAACCAAATTAGAGCTTTCAACGTCTCGCTCCGCTCGGCTCTGCTCCTGCACGCGGTGCTCTGCTCCGCTTTGGCATGCGTCGCTCGACTGCCAGCCGCCCAGGCCTACCAGATGGGGGGCGCGGCTGCCTGCGAGATGCGGCGGTGCGGTTGCCGGCCCTGCTAGGCGCGCAGCCGCCTGCGAGTCGCGGCGCGAGGCCGCTGCCTCCCTTCCCTGTGGCGCAGCCACCGCCGAGCCGCTACCTACAAGCATCGCTAGGCCGCTGCCTCCGGCGAACTTCACATGCCGACGAGCCTCCATTCTCCTAAGCAGCAAGGAGATGTTTGCGCTGAAACTCCATGTTGCGGCGTCTGTTTCAAGTGTTTCAAATATTTTAGATGTATGTTGCAAGTGTTTCATAAGGGTGTTGCAAAAGTAAATCGGGATGTTGCACATGTTGCAATGGTTGTACACGTATGTAAGTATGTTGCAAGCTCCCATTCTCAATGTTTTATCTGTTTTTTTTCTAATCTATGTTGCAAGTGTGCTTATCTGGATGTTGCATATGTTTCACACATATAATGCAAGTGTTTTATCTAGATATTGCGTATCTTTACAATGGTTCAAGTGTTTTTGCAAGTGTTTCACATGCATGTTTTATTTGTTTTCAGATGTATGTTGTATTTGTTGCATCTGGATGTTTCAAACTAGATCGAGTGTTGCATCTCCCTCCTCGCCTTTCTGCTGTCTCGCCTCGATGTCAGGCATGGAAAGGCAGAGGCGGTCCCACTGGCGTGGGTGGGTCCCACGTGCTTGTGGGGGCGCAACAAACGAGATGTGGGCAGGCAGCATGGGACGCCAGACAGGGGACAGCGGCGGCATTAGCCACGCCCAAAATAAAAAGAATAGTTTGTACAAAGAACTAGTCTACTCTACTAATACTAAAGCCCTGTTCCCAAAAAATACTCTACTAAAGCCCGGGCCCATATCCTTTACGAGGGCGACACTGTCCCTATTGGGCCACATGTACGTGGCCGCTCCTGGCCGAGGCCCATATTAATGTCCTTTGCGAGGCTCCATTCCGTTCCCCCGCGGCCCGCGACAGCAATGGGCGGCGATCACTCCGAAGTCCGATCCCCTGTAATCTCCACTCGGTAGCTTCCTCCAATGTCCGATGATCACTGGTCAGCTCTTCTCAACCACCGTCATTTTTTTTACCCCGGTTCTTCTTTTCTCCTCTGCTCCCAGTCCCAGCACTCCGGCACGATCCGTTGGGCTCTCACTCTGCTGGACCGCAGGGACGAGGTGTTCGATCGGGTACCAGTCGACTAGTCCAAGCAGCTACGGATCGCTCGAGCAAGTGGACCCTCCGTCCAGGGCTGGGATGCCAAGGTACGATGTCCTTGGTTCAGAATTTCGGATGCCGTCGTTTTTAGCTTCTCTCTTTTGCTCCCCTTGTTCTGTTTGACGAAATGCCGGCCTCGACGCTCTGTTTTACCACCGTGCTAATGCTTGCTTGGTTGGATTGCGTTGTGACTTGTGAGGATCAGAGGGTGGCTTGCTTCTGGTAGCAGATATTAGTGCTCGTGAATGTTACTCTCTCGCTGATTTGTATCCTTTAGTGGTCGGCGGTGAATTCTCCCTATAGATTCATCAGTGGTGAGAATTGATGCGTGTTTTTCTCTGTGTCTATCTTTGGAAACAAGTTTCCCACACATGTGGCCTGCTTTCTGATCTGTACACCGTATAGCAGGGTAATAGTACAATATCTCAAACGCACAAGTAGACTGCCCCATTTTACCATGTTTTTAAGGACTAACAAGTAACACAATATAACATCATGTTTGTCTTCCTTGCTCTGAAGTTCCCTATGTATTCTACGCTCGGTATGCCAGACTATTTACCTGGACGCTAGTGTTTACCATTGTATAATACAAATTTGCTAGGTGAGCGCCCCTCCCCCCAACTGTTTGGGATGGGGGGAAAAGTAACAGTATAACACCATTTGCAGTCTTTAGAACAATACAGTATTTCATACCTAATTTGGCATGAGTAAGTTAAAACGAAATATTTCTAACAGCTTTATGACATAAGCACCCATTATATGTACTCTAGTTTCTCCACCTCTTTGAACAGAACCTTCCATTTCCTGACTTGATACTGAAAAGACCTTGGATGTTGTCAAGTAGCTAATCATCTGTCTGCTTTGATTAAATTGCTGTGTTCCACAAAGTTCAGCATCGCTCTAGATCTCATATGTCATTCCAACCCGTAGCAGTCTGTTATGAGGGACACATGTTATCCTCTCTGGTTGCCTGAAGTTCTTCCTTATGAAGTTGTAAGCATAGTCAACTATTATCTTCTTAAATAAATCTGCATTTGTTTCTGCCACCACATTAGCTTCTCCTAGCATATGGACGATACCATCCTCCATCTCTCTCTGTATTGTTTGGATCTCATAGATGCATCCATTTGATGGAGCAGCAGTGCTTCTGTCTGAAGAACTATCGGACATTGTTGCCTCTTGAACTCTCATGGAAGGCTCAATTGCATCTTCTATTTCTTCTGCTGAATTATCTCCTCCTGGGCTGTAAAATGATTCTTGATGGATAAATTGTTTCAAATGTTCAATAAGTAAGCCCTCAAATTCTCTTGGATCTTCTACTTTATCATTGTATCCATAGCGCACCACACATCGGAATACCCTGTAATCTCTTGGCTCCACATATCGGAAAAGGAACCGCTCGCTTGTTTCTATTTTGCTGATCGGTAAGTACTTTATTGAGATAATCACAAGAACTGAATGGATGGAAGGTACCCTTTCTACCAAGTGAGGAAGTATGGGTGGGATGCCTTGCACAAGCTCAGAGTACAAAAAGCCTATCCCTGGCAACCTGGTCAGATTCCTCCTAGTGGCCAATTCTGCCACATAGTTACTTGATACTTTGTTCTGGAGCTCATAGTTGTATCGATGAACATGGACATAATGCCATGTGGCCATTATAAACATCAAAATTGCTGCAAAAGCTAGTGGCAAGTAGCCACCTTGAGTGAACTTGTAGAGTGCCGAAGATAAGTATATGAGCTCTGCTCCACCAATTATTACTAGAAAGAGTGCAATCCATAGCAGACTTGTCTTCCATATCATAACCATTACTAAAGTGACCAGAAGTGTTGTTATAAACATCACAAAGACAACAGCAATACCTGCACAATATAATGGTGGTATGAGTATCTGATCATATAAGGTAAAGATGATCTATTTCAGGATGTGTATTGCTCTTATATGGTTTCTAGTAGATCATGTCCTTACTTGCTTTAAGAAAAAGCTGACAGATCACCATGCAATTGGAAAAATACACTAATCTTTTGGATTTGATCAAATTGTCTTCGTTCACACAGCACCACATCTTAATGTTTGCTAGGGTGATTTCATGTGTTCTGCTTGCGCAGTTTAAATAGCAATAACATATGAGTGCTCATAACTTGTTTACAGTCTAGTCAGGTATAAGGGGGCACCTATCAGAGCGGGGAGCAAGTTCAGTGCATCTTATAACAATAATTATTATTGAAGTATAGCTGGGAGCAAATGAACCTATCAAAGCTGGGAGCTGATTGCCCATTACACTAAATTGCTTCAAGTAGTTGATACAGATTTTGAAAAACTTAGAGAAAACGGCAGCAAAGCAGATGATTGCCAAGAAAGAATTAGATATGCGGTAGTTTATAATTTCATTAAAAAATTGAATATTCAGGTACTGCATTTTTTCCTTAGTTTAATTATATCTTGGGGTGGGAGGGATACTTGTTTCTAGATTTGAGAATTTACCATATGCATTGCCAATCTTTTCTGTAGTTTGGAAAATAGCTGTAACAGCTACACACAAAACCATCAACACATAGTTGATCTCCGGGATGTAGACCTGTCCTTCAAACTTCGTTGATGTGTGGGTGACACGAACACGTGGAAAGCAACCTAGAACTTGGGACTGAGCAATAATTGCAAAGGCACCAGATATCATAGCTTGGCTTGCAATTATAGCAGCAGCTACAGCCACCACAAATGTTGGCCAATACAACGGACCTGATAACAAAGTTCATGAGTTCATCATTAGAATTTGATCTTCCAACCCTAATGTCTTTTATTAGTTGATTCTTATATGTTCTTATTACCTGGAATTGATTTGTAGAATGTATTTGCAACATTTTCTGGGTAGATACGAAGATATGCAGCTTGTCCAATGTATGCCAGCAGTACTGAAGGGAACAGAACTACTGAAAAGCCAATCTGTAGTGCAATAAAACTTTTATCATAAATATCTAACTGAATCAACACATAAAGCAATTTCGAAGTTCAAGATTCAAAACTATTTCTTTAGAAGATGAAAATACTTTTACACATTTTAGGACTATTTTCTCCACACACTCAAAAGGTGTTTCTCCATAATCACAGCTTGTCATAATCAATGGGGGTCAGTAGTTTGTAAAAATGAAAAGCCGGGAATTAGGAGAAGTGCTCAATTACCTGAACAGCTCTCACATTGAAGTGACCAAGGTCGGCAAACATTGCCTCAGTTCCTGTTTTACAAAAATGCAATGCACATTACATGACTTTTGGTTAAAGTTATCGATGTTTTATTTCTAGCAGTGCCATTATGTAAGCACAATTTTTTCTGCCAAAATATAAAGGTGATCTCTTAGAGATCAGGGTAAAAGGTATATTGCAGAATTCTGTTATGGACTCTGGGATCAAAAGTACCTGTAATGCATAAAATAACTCCTCCAAGAGAGATCCAGCCCTGCTTCCCATTCCTTTTGAAATAGTCCACAATATATTTTGGATTGAATGCTTTCAGGACACTAGCATCATGTTTGATCAAATTATAAGCTCCAATACCAGCAATCAAGAGGAACCATGTCAAGATTATTGGGGCAAATGTGTAACCAACTTTGTCTGTGCCAAAGTGCTGAACAAGAAACAGGACGATCAATATGGCTATTGAAATGCCAACAATCTGTCCTGTTGTTTGGTTAAGAAGGTCAGATTAAGTTCCCATCCTAAATAGTAAAGTTATTTAAACTGTTGTAACTCTCATTCATATACATTTCAATGCATAGCTTAGTGTACCTTGAGTCAGGTTTGTTGCTTTTTGTTGGATCCCCCCAACAGCGCTAAGTACTGCAAAAAAATACTTATGAGTTTTTCTTAAAAAAAATCATCCTTATAAATATATTCTAGTGGCCAGAGAACATGCATCGCCTGGCAGGATAATAGCTCTCTTAATTATTGCAAGTGACACTTTTGACTTTTCCTCTTTCGTATTTGAACTGAGACGAAATTTTTAGCATGTGTGTTGAATAAGTGCATAAAAGTGATATCCTGACTTATTTCTTTTAATAATCCATGTGTATTTCAACTATCCCCCTGCATACAACATTTTTTACCAAAGATGAGAAAGGAAACTCACCTGACATAGATGGAGTTAGAACACCATCACCAATCACCATGGATGTTGCCAGGACTGTCACTAGGAAAAGCATGACCTTAAATTTTGGACTGTTTTCCATCTTCTTCTTGATCCAATGAGCCCTCTTGATACGATTTGTGGGAGACTCTAACTTGTAGTGAGAAACCATTGCATCTTCAGCCTGCTGATTAGGTATCAAGCTAATCCTGGCATACCTTGATATCAATGAATAAAGTGCAAATGTTCCTCCTGCAATATTATAAGTTGGTAATACATGTTAGCTTCTATCATGAAACGAATTATGTTTTCCTGTGGTGCTTTTAATTTTATTTTAGCAAATTGGGTGCTCAATTCTCACGGACGGAGCCTAACAATTTTTACCTATATTCTTAAAGATACTACAGTCTCTGTACATACTTACATATCTTTTATTTAATGTATTCTCTGTAGGGGCAGTCCTACCATGTTTCCTTTTTTTTAAAGGAAAAAAACATGCTAGAGTCTCTTGCAAGCTTTTTGAGAGACTTGTTTTGTATTAAACTTTGATTGACTGCATAACTTATGCAGAGATTGGAATAAAACTTCCTTTTTCTAAAGTATTTCTAACATTCTTTATAATGTGTTCTTTTAACCAAGCGCTGTTTCCGGCTGATGGCTACAGCGGGCCATCGCTGCTGGAGGACTCAGCTTAGCCAAGTGCTTCAGCTTCTGTCGTTCCAAGAGGCCTCCTCTTGTTGCTCGTTGGTCGCAAAACGGTTCTTTGTAATAGTTCGCTTCTTCCTTGCCGCATGTTTTCTGATTCTTTTCAGTTAATCCTTTCGTGCCGCAAGCTGTGGCTTGCACTGTGTAACCGTTTCATGCTAACTTCTTAATGAAAAATGTGCTCGTTGAGAGCTGCTGCGAAATGTTCTTTTAACCTTCTTCTCTAGTCTAGTTCTTAAAAACGCTTGTCTGCAGCCATACTAGGAGAGTAGAAGTTGTGTTGAGAAGATGTATGGAGCATATTTACTTACCATCACCATTGTCATTAGCTCGCAGGACAATGAAACAATATTTTATCAACGGAAGGAGAATCACAGTGTAGATAATTAGAGACATGACTCCAAGGAGGTCATCCGTGTTGTTGATCCCTTTTGTAAAGGTGCTGGAGAAAACGTAGAGAGGAGAAGTCCCCATGTCTCCATAAACCACACCTATGCTCTGGAATGCTAAATGCAGTGTGGTCGCCCAGCCAACCTTCATTATCAAAGTGCATACTCTGAATCAGATTACATTTTTTGACTCAAAAAGAAAGAAAGCAGACTATATGCTTTTAGCCACACAATCCTTAGATGATCAAGCAGCTGATATGCTTGGTCTCTTTAGTAAGACAACGACGAACATGATAATTCAACAGTTAAGATTTCAGCAGAATCACAGTAATACTTTACAAAATGAAAAGAACAATAAAAAAAAGTCGACCACATGGAGACTCCCCTTAGACTTTGTTCTAAGAAGGCAATAATGGTTTCATCGACCCTGGAGTTCAAGGCTCTAACCATTATGGACCGAGAATGTTTAGTGCAACATGGTATGTTTGTGTGACAATTGTATTTAACTTTGAAATTTTGCTTAAATAAACTGATGAGAATTCAAAATTTACCGTGCAGTTACACGACTTCAAGCCAAAGAAGGATCGTTATCTGATTGGATAAGAGTAGTTGGAGAACATACCTTGGCTGCATGTGTTGATCCACCAGGGATCATTCCAGCCTCCATGTGCAGTGAATCAAACCTCTGTAGCCTCTTTGGTGGCATTCTCTCTGATGCATGTTCAGAGTTGGCATCACCGTGAGCAGCTCCGTTGCTGCTTGTGTGCTGAGGTTCAGCCATGTTGAAGGTATGGGAGTCTTGCTCAGTTGCTCTGGCCGACCTCTTGTTCTGTTTCACATAACATGGCTTTTATAGGCAGTTGCTTGTGATGCTAGAGTATGAACGTGTGCTTTCTTCCTTTTTCAAAGACCGGCCAGTATGGACATATCCTGGTATAAGACTGGATGCTTGTGCAACAAACGGATTTCTCATCTCATGTTGGCGAGGTCAGACGCTGTTATTATCATTCACTTCACTTGCCAAGGTCTTCGTTCAACGCTGCAGCCGTGAACCTTGTGATCTGCTTTACATGAGCCGGGAAGGTGGCTACGTGGGAGGGCATGGTGACTTTTCTTCATCGGCAGTGGGCAGTGGCTGTCATTCGTAAGTCGTAAGTGTGTTTCTGTAGACTTTCCATAAGAACCTGCGACTTTGCCCTTCATTTCCAGTTTACCCCGTACTTCTTGACAATGATGAAAAAGAAATCCTATGCAGCCGGCTAGATGCCATTTATCAAATCAAAAGAATCATATTGAGCCACATATGGATGTCCTAATCCTTTTTTAAAAAAAAATTCAAAACGACTATTGTTTTTCGAAGGCATATAGACATATCCTACAAGTTTAAAATTGAAATTATAATTGTCAAAAACCCTACACAAGTGCCTAGCAACTGCCATAGGTTCTGAACTTTGCTTTCCTACTTGTTAACTTAGAGCTTCATTTAGGCAAGCGTGTATTTCTCGTTGCCAATACTTAAGGACTAAGCATACGGCCATATGGGATATTTGCAACAGTGTGTAACGGCCCAAAAAGTGGCTGCCACCAGTATTGGCTTCCAATCTTCGATACTGTGAGCAGCTATTGTTGGAAAAAATCGGAGCCCAAGTGTTCTTTTGCAGCTTGGCGGTTCTAACTCGCTTTCGTGCTGATCTGCGCCATGGACTTGACTATTGTTTCTCGTGAAGAATACGTTCGCAGGACGCTCTTCAATCTTCATGACGTGACATGCATCTGGAATATACCCCACCACGGCCGGCCGCAAGGCCGTAACCAAGTGTGTCGATTCCTTGGAAGGACTGACAGCATGGGCAACTGAAGGGACAGGGATGTTTGACCATGTGCGCAAGGCTTTGTTCGTTCAAGAGTTTTTCCAAGTTTCTACTTTCGAGACTTTTTCTTACTACTACGTGTGGCATGGCCAGTGGATAAAGACGCCGTAATGTTAGTGCTGTTAGTTTGATTTCTAGGATTCCATCGCGAGTGCAACTACGGAAAATTTTCCTGATCAGAGTTTCTAGCAGACGTGCTTGGAATTGATAGATGCAGCGAATGCAGCTTTGGGCTGCAAGAGTTGGTGTGACGAACTGATGATATATACTTGATAAGAGTTTGTTGGCATCTTTCGCCTCCATTTTTTCCAGTCTCCATTTTGAATAAAATTATATTGCGCATGGGAAAATTTATGGAATGCCTTCAAGGCATTTTACTTTGGTTGGTACATTCAAAATCAGGAAGCCCTGGGGCAGAGATGCTCAGTGCATGGTTTTGACGGGTGTCTGTTCCTTTTGTTGGTCGTCGTGTCAATGATGCCATAGCCCATAGATGCTCTCCGGCCGTTATCCGATCTCCTTTGTAGTGTCCAGTTGCAGGCTTGCAGCCATCCTTCTTTGAACCTTGACCCATTTTCGTTCGTCTCTTCGTCTAAGAAGCAACGACATAGCTATGGTGCGCCGTTCTCGCTTTCATTCATCTCTTCATTCCTACTACTACTATGCTGAAAAGTTGGCTTCTTTGTCGGGTATATATTTCAACTAGAATTATTATCTTAGATTAGAGAAGATAATGATGCACAGTCCGACAATTAGATCAGCGTTTGCGTTTTTATTCATCTCTTCGTTCATAATCTCTGTAAACGAATTCTGCACCAAAAGCGGGCTAACGGATTGGACCACGTTGCCCGTTAAACCACGAACCGTAGGATCGAGCCAATTCGCAATATCGTCCGTCGATTTGGATAGGTTTCGGATCTTTGCCCACTTCTTAGTGGACCCGAGACCTCGAGAACCTTCTCAGGCTCGTCCCGGTCGAGCGAGCGGCTGCCTTGGTGATGTAAGCGATGACTATAGATGGCCAAATGGGCCAGGCACGATGGGCCGGCACGGGCCCGGCCCGAAAAAGCACGACACTAGCACGGCATGACACGATGTCTATAGTGCCAGTGCCGGCACGGGCACGATTTAGGGCCGTGCCTGGGCCGAAGGTTCGGTCCGTAGTGCCGGCATGGGCACGACACGGTTAATGGGCCGGCACGATGGTGGTCCGATTATTCTCGACCCTTGGATTGATTTGGAGTATTATTGTCCGTTGGATTGACTTACCTAGCTATAAAAGCAACTCCCTCCTCATTCTCTCTCATTCTTTCACTCCCAGCCATCATTTCTTTCTCTCGGTACTCCTCCCGTTTCCTCTTCATGAGTCCCAACCGTAGAAGCCTTTCATGCCTCTCCGCCTCACGCTCCCTAGGCCGGCGGCCGACAATCCCATGCCACTCCTCCCCCACTCGTCTTCTCCTCGAGGTGCGGCTACGACAGCGGCGGCGCAACGGCGTTCGTGTGAGGCACAACTGTGGGGGCCCGACGCCGTTCGTGCGAGGCACCGCTGCGATGGCACGGCGGCCGCGGCGACGATGTGAGGGCGCAACAGGGCCAAGGAGTGGCTCAACGACGACGTGTTCGTCACGCCGGCAACACGGCTTGGCTCGGCGAGCTCCTCGTGATGAGGACATGACCTCCATACATATGACCATGCTTGGAGAACCATATGGAGACCAAGGAGATCAGCGAGGGTGTCCTAAGCGAGAAGGATGCCCAAATCTCATCCGGTTCGAGTCACCAAGGTGGAGGCCCAAATCAAGTTCGAGTCCATCTCGGCCTCCAGGACCAGTCTGCCTTAAACTGGTCATCCAGGACGCATCCGGACTCCTTTTTCGACGATCCACATATGGATGAAAAGCTAATTTGATAAGGAAGTCAATCCAAGTAGTTTCACGTCAAAATCTATTTGGAATCAACATTAATCGTGGTCATAAGTCAGCATCCAGAATCTGCCAGGGTGCTACGACACCGTCTTTTGGTCCGTTGGACCGTGTATCGTGTTTGGTTCCATTAGGAGGCGCGTTCAGGGGGGTGACGCCCAAGACTCTATAATTAGCAGCCGTCGCTCTCCTTAGGGTTTGAGTTTTGTTTAGTTCTTGATTTCCTCGTGAAACAGACATCGTTTTGCTGCAACTGTGCCGCCAAGGCTGCTTGCTGTGAACCAGGGCCCCAGTTCTTGATCTTGTTCGCTTGTGGCGATTAATCCTTTCGAATAAAGACTTGAACTCCTTCTCGTTATCATAAGCCTTATATTTATTTACAATTTCAGATTGCATTCATCTCGTTCTTACTTGTGTTCTCGATTCGCTTGCAGGAAAGTCTTCTCGGCGAGGTTAATCGCGTTCGCATGGTTGATAACCAACGGAGCAGTGGTGTAATGGTTATGGGGGTCCGAATCAATCTTGGTTCGAAGCCTAGATCGTGAACGTCGAGTCTCCACCAATTGACGCTATCATACCTTTCGGAAGATCGGGCCTAATTTACATCAAGTGGTATCAGAGACCTTGTTGCCCGTTAGGTATAACTTTGTTATTCCTTTAGATTATTACTGTTTTTGCATTACCTATAGTCCACAAAAAGCCAAAAAATATATACGCCACCACATATTCCCTGTCCTATAGCCTCATTGTACCGTGCAATTTCGTTTCTATTTCGCGTTGTTGAGTTTGTGCCCTAGGTCAAGTTCTGGTTGATGGTTTTAGATCGTTTTGAGTCCAGTTTGTGTTTTCCCTTTGTTTTTCATTATAATCCATGAACACCTTCAAGTCTTGTTGTGTTTCCTTTGTATCCATCAAACCCTAGTTCACGTCGTCTAATTTGTTACACTTGTCTTCACTGTTTCATTCAAATCCTTGCTGCTGTGACCAATTTTGTGCGCATTGTTCCCGTTTTGTCCTCTAATTCGGAATCCGTTCGTAAAACTGATCTAGTTTTCGCATACGAACTCAGATTTCGACATTCAATATATCAAAATCGATCAGAAATTTTTTTTGGATCCGTCTATCCCCGGCTTTGCCAGTGTCAGAGATTTTTATTTTGGTCAAAAAGTGGTCACAAGATCCTCTTTTCGTGGTCACAAGGTTTTTGTCGATTTTGAGCACTTCTTCTGAAATTTCCACGGGCCACGTCTTTCACTTGTTTAAGCTCATATTTTCTATGGTTACTTCTTTTGTGCTCCTAAGTGAAGAAAAAATATCAAAAAAAATAAAAAGAAAAAGTTGAAATTTCTCAAAAAAACAACAACAGCCCAAAAAATTAAAAAAAGAGAGGGGCAAAAGAGGAACAATATCTAGAGGAGCACATAGAGAGCGCCCTTTGAGTTGTGTTTGCGTGTGTTGATTCCTGCCTTGTTCCTAATCATATTTTTGCTGTTCACATCACTTGATACATCTGGTACTTGGAACGTGAGTAGGTCAGCAACTAAGACAAGTACTCGGGATACTTATTCAGCTTTGCTATTCAGTTGTGGATATTGTTTTTCCTTGCTACTATATTGTGTCTGTCCAAGCTCCACTTTCTTCTAACTAAGTACAGGTTCGCCTTGCAACTATTACACTCGAGCTACAACAATATCACAGTCACCGACCGATTGCACCGTCTGTTGCTTTGGTAAGAACACTTGTAAGACCGTGGTAAGACGCTTGAGAGTTTAGTGCCTTGTTTTTCCTTGTCCACAACCTAAGTAGTTGATAGGGATAATAATTTTGTGTTGTCTTTTGCTGTCTTCTAACAATGACAAATTATTCGTATCCACCGACTTATGATGGTATAGGTGCTGATGAGTATATGGAGTGAAAAATTGCCATCGATAACATATTTGCTACTCGCTTTATGTGTCCAAGGAGGAAGGTAAAAAATGCAGCTA